GGGGAAGAGGCTGAAGAGCCTCAAAGAAGAACACAAGAGGTTAAAGGAAGAGAATGAGCAGCATAGAGATGCAACTTTGGATGCAGTTATGGAGCCTCATGCCACACAGCCTACTCCCTTGGAGTAGGACAGGTTCATTCATTCATCTTTAGTCTCCAACTTTTATTTTTATTTTAAGTCTTGGGATAGTTTTCTTGCTTTTTAGCTTTATTTTCATACTTGATTACATGATCATTGCTTACAGTTCTTGATATCATAGCCTAAATAAATTTGAGGGTAAATAGCCATTCACCTACTAAATAGTGTTCTTGCTAGAACTAGCWTATGTCTTYTCTTGAGCCAAATTTAACTCACACACCAATACACATTTGSGTATGATTTAKRCCATTCTTCATTTAAACTCTCAAACAAGCCACTTGTAGCCTTATACACTTTCCACCAACATAGCCAATGAGGGCATTGTCAAAAGTTCAAGTTTGGGGGAGGGTGCACCACAAAGGCCACAGATTCTAAAACAAAAGAGCAAAGCTCTAAAACCTTTGTGGGATCTGTTTAATAGCACAAAAATGTCCCATAGGGGCAATGTGCATGCTTTCATCATAAAGAGCACATAGTGCCAAAAAATTTAAAAAAAATTAAATGATGAAGCATAAAAGGAAAAAGGCAAAGTGAGAAGAAAATAGCCAAAGAGAGGAGAGCCTTAAACAAGTCCTATTGACCCCAGCATGAAAGGGGTGTGTTGAGTTCATTAAGGAAAAGACTAGTGCTAGCATATGGTTCATACATGAAAAGAAGGCTTTGAATGGTTTGCTAAAAATTTATGAATGGCTATGATGTTCATAAATGATATGCTTCGCTTTATGTGTGCACTTACTGCCTTAATCTGGTATACCTTACTATATTGAGTCATTTTTAGTTGTCATTTGATTGCTTGGGGACAAGCAACACTTTAAGTTTGGGGGTATGATAAGCATGGTTTATTACATGCTTAAAGTACCTATTTCTTATGTTTAATAGGTAGATTTTCATAGTTTATCCCAACCTTGAGTCATTTTTACTTCCTTATTTTCCATTTGTTATGTTTGGAGCTAAAKRTRATGATGAATTTGTTTTTACAACAATTTGGAGTAGATGACATATTTTGACTTATAACACTTCACTATAATGCTGCAGCATTCCAGCAGCATTGCCCGGCTGCATTTTGGCTTTTTGGAGAAGTGCTTATTGGTTAAGCCATTGTCAAGGATGGAGGTCTGAGCTGAAGAAGCCCTCGTTTTGGCCCTCAAACAGCTGGTGAAACAAGATGGAGAAGACCTTTTTGTTGACATGATTTGATGGAGATGATACCTCCTTTTTTCTAGTCCATTCATGTACTTTTTTCCTTCTTTCCATGTTTTTGTTTTATGTTAAACTCTTGGGTATAAAAGAAAGCCTTTGTCTTCTCTTTTGATATCATCCCCTGGACGAATTTGGTTCCATTTTTGTACTCCCAAAAACACTCTCATCTTATTAGTAGTATTTACAAGCTTTTAATTATCATTCATTACATTTTGTCTTTTATTTGTTTCTTTATTGCCATTTACTTCCCGTATTTACTTTCTGTCATTTACTTTCAGTTATTTACATTCATGTCTTTACTTTATGTCATTTATTTATGTTATTTACTTTCCGTAATGAGTAGCTAATTCCATTAGCTCGGGTGAAGGGAAAGGGTGAAATGTTAAACCGAATGAAAGTGGACGTTGTTTCGCAATAACAATGTTCCACTATTTCATTCAAGTTTTATAAAGCCAAGCACACTTCTTGACGAGTTGATCACTTTGAAAGTGTTAAAGTRCCATKGACTTAGAGATAAGCCATGATAAGCACGTCAGCTTGAATGATATAAGAGGTAGACTTGAGAAAGTTACCGACAAGGAGACTTGTCATTTATGTTTTTCAAACTTANGACTTAGAGATAAGCCATGATAAGCACGTCAGCTTGAATGATATAAGAGGTAGACTTGAGAAAGTTACCGACAAGGAGACTTGTCATTTATGTTTTTCAAACTTAGCTCCCGACGGGTTGGTCACTCTCTAAAAGTGTCAAAGTGTGATAGATTCAGAGATGAACTATCAAGAACATGCCAACTTGAATGATATGGGAATCGGCTCGAAAGAGKGATTTTTAACAAAGAGATTTGTTTAGCCATATAWCTTGAAAACACCATTTTGTCACTATTCCTGGTCCGAACACCACATAGAGATATGGGTGCAAAGCTATAATATAGTGCAAAGGTGAAGTCCGAGAGGAATACCTTCAAGATAAATGGTGGGACTGGTTCTTCCACAGCCTTGTCTGCTGGATTTCGTGTTTACGTTTCACCCCAAATCTTACACCCGYGCTACCTTTATTATTCWACCTTTATTATTCTGCTTTATTATTCTGCTTTATTATTTTGTTATATTACCTGTGTTAACTCGGAATTAAACTAAAGTCTTCGTTTTTGTCATCTGAAATCTTTTCTTTTATTGGACTCTGATTTAACTTTTGCTCCAATCCATGTGGACGATATTCCGGTACTTGTACCTCCTTATTACTTGAAAGGACGACGTTGGGCTGTATTGTATACTTGCTTTGTGGCCCAATTTCATTAAGTCTAAAGGTAAATGTTAAAACCCAGATCTGACAATAGAATAATTTAATAAGGAAATTCAAGAGAAATTTGTAGAAGAAGAAGATGAAATAGAAATCGACGACTTTTTTTATTGAATTGGAAATTACAAACTCTCAAGAACCCTAATCGACTCTCATGAGATGTATCTGAATCTATGTGTTTACAATGTTTTTCTATTTGCTCTCATATATTTTTCTCTACCTGAAACACTACTTATATAGGCAGTAATTCATGATAATCTGAATAAGATTAGTATTATCCAAAATAGGATTAGCCTTATCCAAAATAGAATTCTGAAGATAGTCGTCTTGAAGGACCAGAGGATAGACCAGAGGATAGACATACCAGAGAGGCTATGGTCCTCCAAAGGCTCTGGTCAATACAACCAGAGGCTCTGGTCAATACAACCAGAGGCTCTGGTGTCTCTTACAGAGGCTCTGGTTCTGGTGTCTCTTCACAGAGGCTCTGGTTCTGGTGTCTCTTCACAGAGGCTCTGGTCGTCTATACTTGGTCAATTTAGCACAGCGGCTGGTCTTCTTCCAGACTTAGACGTTTTGGCGCAACAGCATCTTCAGATGTTCCATTCTTAGCCCCGATTACTTAATAAAACTTTTTTGAGATAATTATTAGGATCAATTTGATGCTAACAATCTCCCCCCAAAGTTTTATGAAGCAAGCATCTTCATGAAGTCTTCAGGTCTTCTCCCCTCTGCTTTCTTGATTAAAGCTTTAGTGTGCTTGGTATGGATGGATTTTTCAAGCTCCGCCCTGAATGTAGCTCTTTGTTCTTTATTTTCAACTCTTAGATCAAATCAGATTCAATGTGAATGCAGCACCACTGATTGCACAAGATGCAGCTTTAATCTGCCCACAATCCAGCACATTCTTTGAAGCACAGAATAGCCACTCACCCCAAAAGTAGCAAATTCATCCAAAAAGGGATAGATAA